AGCTTGTACCCGATATTCGACAATGATCGATCAATACTTGAAGTGAGCATTTGAGACATCTACCGGGTGCCCTTGGCGAGTTTGTCGTCAATGTCATCATCCAAATGGTACAGGTTACCGTCCTGGCTGGCCAAGTCCTTCACCAGATTCATGTTTTTGGCCCGGAGTTCCTGGCAAGTTTAGAGATGCATAGTGGAAAACATGCCAAACCGCACCTCCATCTTTTGACCTCGCGAGCTTTTTGCTGGTCCCTCCTGAAACAACGGGGTGGATTTTGTGGATCAGGGAGCGGACTTTCATTAGGATAATTAATTTGAAAAAATTGGACTTCCCTGACTCCCCTATATTTTTAAAAAATCTAGGGAGTCAGGAATGCAATGTTCTTCTTTGGGGTCCCTTTTAGACACTCTCAACCCCATCTCCTGCTGCTTCCTTTGTGCTTTGCTCTTCGGGTGTTCTGTGCCAGCGCTTGCATTACTGCCAGGCATGGTCAAGTCCCTTGACTCCTCTTCCAATTTCCTTTTGTCGCCAGCTGCGCCGCCAGCCGCAGTCTTTGAGGCATCGTCAACTTTCGCCGTGTCCTCATTACTGCCATCCTTGCCCTTGCCATTGCCTTTGCCTTTTCCTTTCTTTCGGCCACCTGGAGCCCGGCGGCGCTTTGATGCTTTCATATCCTCCTCCTCCATCATCTCCCTTTCACGCTTGAGTTTCGCATCCATCTCCTCCAGTTCTTCATCTAGATCTTCCTCCTCGCAAGCTGGCGCTTTGGTTTTCCTCCCTTTTCCTTTGCCTTTGCCTTTGCTTTTCTTCCTTGCCTCCTCCTCTTCCTTCTTCTTCTTGTTCAAAGCTTGCCTCACAGCCTTCTGCTCCTCTAGGATTTTGTCAAGCTTCTGTTGTAAGGCTGCCGCATCGTCCCCCTCTTCAGCCAAGCTCGGCAAACCCGGCATCAAAGGGCGTGTGTCCTTGTAGGCCTGCGATTCATCTCCGCTCTTTGTATCAATGTCTTCTCTCTCGTCAGGGTTGGGAACTGCTCCATCTTCCGACGAAACCTTTTTTGCGTGCGCACGCTCCTCCAAACTGAGATCTCGCAAACAACGTTCTGCTTCTTCCATCACCCTGCTTGTTTTGTCCTTGTCCTCCTTCTTCATCCACCTCTCATACCTTGTGGCGGCCCTTGCTTTCTCTTCCGTGATCCTCTTCTCTTCTTGCTTCGCATCTTCTTCCTGTTGTCCGGCCTCCTTTGCCAGCCTCTCCTCTTCGACCCTTTTGGCAGCCTCTTCACGGATCCTCTTCTCTTCATCTTCCTTTTCTTGCTTCTCC